TCTAGTCCTGCTCTATTAACCTGCTGTGTGACTTCACAAAAGTCACAGGAAAAATTTCTAAAACAGCCCATCCATTTTCGCACTCCCCATGGAGCACTCACCAAGTACAAGAGAGTGAGCATTATAAGCATTATCACACTAAATCCTCATAAGAACTTTATGAATATGTCTCATTATTATGCTCATTTTGAAGAAAAGGACATTTATTCTCAGAAAGGTTACACAAGATCACCCAGCCAGCAGATGGAAGTGCTAAATTTGAATCCATGACGACCACGATGTGCCCTTGTGACTTCAAGAAAGACATAACTTGCCAGTGTGACCTCAGAAGATAGTTGGGAGATTGCATCCATCCATCCAGCCAGCCAGCCATGCACACATGTTCTCTGAAAAGCAAAGAGCACTACAAAGATGGAGAATGTGGTATTGTTTCTACTTATGCCTGAGAAGAGCCCTCAACACATTCAGAGCAGCAGCTCTAAATGCAGTCCAAAGAACCCTAAGGATCCATGAATGGGCTACAGAGAGTCTGTGAATCTATAAAATCGCATGCAAATTCTTATGGGTGAGTGCATGGACCATTTCTGGAGCAAAGAAAGGCCCATGGCTGTCATCAGATTCTCAAATATTTCTTTGATTCACAAGAGTGTAAGTAAGAACCACTGGTCCAGAGAAATGGAGCTGAAACAAGAAGAAAGTCCAACAAGAAGTGTATCTTAGTCAGCTCGAGCTACTGTAATAAAATACCATAAACTGAGGGGCTTATAAACAACAGACATTTCTCACAGTTCAGGAAATCCGAGACCAAGGTTTTAGTCAGGGGTTATTGAGGGAGGGCCCTCTTCCAGGTTGCAGACTTCCCATTGTGTCCTCACATGGCAGACAGCAGAGCAGAGAAAGCAAGCTCTCTAGTGACTCTTATGAGGGTAATACTCCCATTCATGAGAGCTCCACCCTCATGACTTCTAATCATAACGACCTCCCAGAGACCCCACCTCCTAACATCATCACATCGGGGCGGAGAGGGGTAGAGTTTCAACATATGAACTGGAGACAAGGAGGAGGTGGACACAAACCTTCAGTCTGTAACCGAGTAATCATAGCTATCTCTGTCTGAGTCAAGAGATGAACAGGGGAGGAGTCTAGTAAGAAAAGACCATAGAGATTCTTTCTTCTGCGTCAAGAAATGGAAGCTACAGATTCAAGGCCAATGGGCACAAGATGTTCTATTTGGCATCTTCTTCTTTTCTAATATATGGATCTTATGACCTTCATGTCCCATCTGTTAACCTGGCAGCTGGTTCTTGCTCCAGTGCCTTCTGCTTACGCAAAGTACACCAGGTCAGGGTGCACGCTTCTATCCCCTTCCTGTAAAATAATTGTGCCTTTTCGCTTCCAATATTAGCACATGTAGGCCAAAGCTGTCTGCTTCTAACTAAATGGAAAGTTTCATTGTAGTCAGCTTTAAAAAATGTAATGGGGCATTACAATGGAGCCGATCTATTGTGATCAAAAGATATGGTGAATGCTGCTGCCAAGTGCTACCCAATGGAAAGGCAGGGATCTGCAATACAGGAAGTGGTGGGCTGCACCTTACTAACAGTGTGTGATAAGTTTCAACTTGTTTGGTGCAGTCAGTCAGGTGTGAGCTACAGTTGACAGAAGGTGTGTTTTAAAGTGTGCTGTAAGTCATAGATCACTAACAACACATTAACATGAAATGGGCAAATCACGACAATGCTCCGTGTCACACATCGCTTCTGGTATATGGCAATTTCTGTCAAATAAAAACATTACGGTGTGTCCTCATCCACCTTATTCACCGGATTTGACACCGTGCGACTTCTGGCTCTTCCCCAAAGTCAAAATGATTCAGGACATCGAGGCAGCCACGACAGCACAACTAAAGACACTCATGAAAGAGGACTTCCAGAACTGCTTCAGAAAGTGGCAAGAATGATGGAATAAGTGTGTTTGAAGCAAAGGGGAGTGTTTTGAGGGGGATTAATGGCAATGTGTCTTTTACTGTAATAATTTTTTTTTATTTAAACATTCACTGTATTGTTTGACCACATATAGTACTCTCCTGATGAATGTCAGTAGACCAGGGATGGGAGCATGTCATACACTGACCCAATCAGACTGGAGAGAAACACATGCTCCATGACTGGGCTTTCTGCCTCTCCCGCTTAGGGAATCATCCTTAGAAGAAAGCTTATGCTAAGTTTAAGAGGAAGCTGACATTAAAACTGGCACAGTGGTAGAGGGGTCAGATAAACTACAGAATGCCAAGTTCAATTTGAATTTCAGATAAATAATGAATAATCTTTTAGCATAAGTATGTCCCTAATATTGCATGGTACCTACTTTTAAACTGAAAAGTATTAATTATCTGGCTGAAATTCAAATTTACCTGGGTGTCCTATGTTGTTATTTGTATTTTTATTTGCTAAGTGGGGCACAGTGGAAAGAACCTGTACATGATGGCAGTATAGCAATGGAAGACTGTACTACCTCTGAACTTTTGGTTATGGAAGGTCATTGATTCCTTTATTGTTTAGGCAGTTTAGAATTTTTGTCACTTGCATCTCGACGAATCCCATCTCATGCAGCAAGTCAGTGGTTCCAACCGAGGTAGGAAGGGTGCAGAGCATAAGCTCACAACACCAGATAAAATCCAAAAAGGACAGACACTCAACACCATATTAAAAGCTACAAAGCCAGTGCTTAGGACACTAAACTTTTTTTTTTTAATCAGAGCTGTAAGAATGCAGCTAGACAGACTTACTGGAATTCATCAGATTCTCCTCAGTCAATGTAAATTATTTATTATAAAGTCACAGAATGTGAATTCACTTACACTGTAAAACTCTTCCATGAATACTAACAAATTCTAAAATCTTGGCAAAGAGGGCTGCTCATAGTCACCAAAAATGCAAAAACAAAAGCACCTAACAAGTCCAGATTAAGGATCCCAATATGTAGACGTTAATGATAAACTTCCATGTAATTTTGTTTAGGGAAAAAAAAATCAATTGGTTCCACAGAAAAACTTGCCTTTAGATCAAACCTGAAGCATTGTGAACTAGTCAAATAAAATAGCAACGGAGTTATAGGAGTGAGCAGAGCCAAATGACTGAATGGGTAACCACAGGACTGAGTTGCGCATGTGTGCCAGTGGTGTGTGTGTGTGTGTGTGTGTGTGTGTGTGTGTGTGTGTGTGTGTGTGTATCTTGGGTCTACTGTTTACACAGTATCAAAAATCACAAGGTGATGAACCCAAGGAGCTTATATGTGGTGCCAGGAATATGACCAATGAACCAAAACCAGATGTTCAGTTAGCTGTAACAGTTAGGAAGAGACCAAACAACTGTGTGCTGATCTGCAACCACAGTTTTAAAGCCTGCTCTGGTGCAAAGACTTCCTCCTAACATGTAACACACAGCATTAACATCACCATCATCCAGACTCCCTTCAAGCCCATAAAAGGCTATAATTTAGGGCATGTCAGTATAGAATAAATGTGAAGTTAAGAAAAGTTCTAACAAAGATATCTTTGGGGAAAAACAACATATATGTATGAATGCAAGTAACTGGGTTAAAAGAAACTTAATGTACAATATTCCTGAATGTAATATTATGAAAATGTTAACTGTCCCTAAATTAATCTACAAATTTAACAAACTCCCCGTCAAAATACCAATAGGTATGGGTTTTGGGGAGTTTTTTTTTTTTTGGTAGGATCAGAGGATTTGATAAAATGTAAGTTTTATCTTCCTGAAAAGGAAGAACAAAGAAGACAAGCCCAGAGAGATATTAAAAGTGTCATAAAGTAAAGCCAGAATAATGTGGTACAATCACAGGACTATAGAAGAAGCTCAGTGGAATAGAACAGAAAGTCCAGAAACAGATCAACAAGGGTTTGTTCATTGATAAAAAGGGGCATCTAAAACCTGCGGGTAAAAATGGATTCCTCAGTAAACAATGTTGGTTAGCACTTAGGAGAAAAGAACATAAATGGCTTGGCTTGTGAGTTTTGCTGGTAAAATGGCTTCTAAAAGTCGGAAGTGCTCAGTGTCCATTGATAGATGAATGGATAAAAAAAATGTGATACACACACACACACACACACACACGGTGGAATACAAAAGAATTAAGTCTTACCATTCGCAACAACACAGACGGACGTAGAGGGTATTATGCTTAGTGAAAGAAATCAGACAAAGAAAGACAAATACCAGATGATTTCACTTATATAGGGAATCTTAAAAAACAAACAAACAAACAAAAAATAATGCATGAACAAAACAAAACAAAGACTCATAGAAACAGAGAACAAACTGATGGTTGCCAGAGGGGAGGGATTGGACGGATAGGTGAAAAAGGTGAAGGGGAATAAGAGGTATAACCTTTCAGTTATAAAATAAATAAGTCACTGGGATGTAATGTACAGCACTGCGAATATAGTCAATAACATTGCAATAAATTTGTATGGTGACAGATGGTTACTAGACTTATTGTGGTGATCACATCCTAATGTATATAAATGTCAAGTCACTATATTGTACACCTGAAACTAATATAATACTGTATGCCAACTATACTAAACTATAAATAAAATAAAATACAAAAGTTTTTTTTAAAAGTCGTAAGTGGCAGAAGCTAAATGACAAAACGCTATCAATCCATACAGCAGCAAGCTAAAGTGCTATAGCCACGAACTCTCCACTCATGGTTTCCCAACAAGATTCCCCACAAGATAGGAAATGCATTCAACTGGGTGCCCTCTTCCGCCCTGTGGGACTTCACTGGGTTTCCTTCACCCTTCACCGCACCTCAACCCCTCTTTGCCATCAGTATTTATTCCCCCAGCAGTACAAAAGGATTCTGGAAAAGAAAATATTTCTCTACACATTGTGGGATCCCCCGGTCCCCCTAATTGTTGTAAGGCATCAATACGAACAATCTGAGAGTTATCAAAGATCAGGAATAAGTCTTACCTGTCTCCTCATTTCAGGAGGAAGTGACGGATCGCCATCCTACAAAAAAAAAAAACAAGTGCTACATTTTACTTACAAAAAAACTCCCAAAATGTGCTTAGATTTAAGGAATTGAACCAAACTATGAACTAAATCCAGACCCTCCCCACTCCCGGGCCCTGCAACCAGCAATGTGCTGAACCAAGCTCAAATATACTTTTCAAAACTTAACTATAAACTGAACCCGAGTTATTTTGGAAAAACCTCAAAGGAATCAGTTCCATTTAGGACCAAGCCTATATACTTCCTAAAACTATGCGAATCAAAAACATTTTAAAATAAACCAACTGGATTTATCAAAATTATTTTTGAGCAGAGCTGAAACTTAAACAATATTTCATTTGGTTTGAGTTGAGTTCCTCTTTTAAATAGTTAGATCCAAAGAATAGCAGTGGGACACACAGACACAGACACACACACACACACACACACACACACACACTTGAGTTTTCTTTATGGGCAGAACAATTCGGTGGGGCGGGAACGAGGAAAGTATATGCTCAAAAGAAAATTAACTGAGAACTTCCAGTCCTATCAGAGAATTTTTATCTGAAAAGGATTCAGTTCCTCTCCCTGTGTACTATCTGGGAATACAAATGCTCAATAAACCGGTATTCTCCTATGTGACGCGGTCCATATTTTAACCTGAAGAATCTATCTACTCTACTGCTGTTCAAATTCAATGATCCCAGTACAAATGGTTAAGTGTTAGCAATACTGTCAGCACTTCGAAAAGACGTTGTATCAGTGAGAAAAAAAATAATCAACCATGCAGAATAGCTCTGTGCCTCCTGTAGCCTCCATTGTGCTACAATCTGCATCCTTAAAAATCTTGCCATGTGAAAACCTAAATGCCCAGGATGAGGGAAAGGTTAAAAAAAAGTATGGAAATGTTGCTATGCCACTGTTCTTAAAAATGAACTAAATTTGTATGTATGGCCTAGAGAGATGGACAAAATAAAGTGCTGAATGAAAAGAGCAAGTTTTAGAACATGTATGCATACACTGCAGTCCAACAGAGCTCGGCAATGCTCAAATGTTCTGGATCTCACTGCCCAACAGAGAGGCCACCATGGAAATGTTCCTTAGCAACGCAATCCAGTATGGTTGCCACCACCCAACTATATAGCAACTGAGCCCATGAAATGGGATGAGACTGAAGAACTGAGTTCTCAATTCTATTTAATTCTAATTAATTTAAAATGAAATTTAACCACATGTAGCTAATGGCTTCTATATTAGACAGCATAGATTTATAATGCAAATCCTCTTAAAACTACTCCATATGAATAAATTAATAAGTAAATGGGCACACACAAACACGTAGGTAGGTACTGTGTTATTTCATAGGTGTCCCAGCTCGCAGTCTGGAAGCATAATTATACCGACTAGATTAGCAGGTGGGAAGGCCGGGTTGTACAGGAAATAGGGGTGAGCACTTTTACTTCTTAATTTTTCCACTTTGGAACTGTTGAATTCAATTCTGTTTTTGTAGAAACAGCATGTTAAAATACCCTTGCTATCTTAATAAGGGAACAGAAATGTCACCGGGACGTCGTAATACGTACGATCAGCTCTCGGTATTTCTTCTTCAGGGACTGGTGGCGTTCTCGAAGCTGATTGGCCATGAGTTTGTACTGGTCCCTTTCCTGCTGGCATGTGTCCAGCTCCTTGGAGAGGATTAGCAGGGCTTCTTTTTTACTCTCCAACTTCCTTTTGCACACCAGGTACTGCAAAACAGACAAATCCAAGTGTCTGGTCAAAAGGTCATCATCAGGCCTCTCATTCAATGCACTGGATTTAACACACCCTGCAGGGTTGGTTTTTTGTTTTGTTCTGTTGCCTTTTGGTTTGGTTTTGTTTTTCTGAGATCTTACATCCAGAGACATTCGTCAGTAACTGACATGTGCACCTAAAGGCTGCTACGGTACCTAATGTAGTCCCCTCATGACAAAACCCAAATCTTGGATGTTCACGAACTTTGGCACTTTGGGACACACAAAATAATTTAATTGACAAATAAGTTAAAAAGTAGAATACTTTTAAAAAATTACATAGCTAAATAAATTGATAGCTGGACCCCAATTTTGTTTTAAGAAGGCTTTGTATATCCAGGTAAGATCATGTAAAATTTTACAAAATGATATACAAAGATATTTAATAAAAATTCTGTATATTACCAACAATTAGCTCTTGGTAGCAAAATTATTTACATGTTGTTGTTGTCTTTTATATTTATTCTTTATGCTTTTGTGTGTTTCCTAAATTTTCTAGAATAAACCCATATGGCTTCTATAATTAAAAAAATACAAAATATGTTATTAAAAATAATTTCATTGAACCATAAATCACTGCAATAGATTGCACCTGCCCACGCAACCCAGAAGATATTTTCTCACTTGAGAATTTTTGTTCACCAATGTGGCCAAGATATGCACAACTTCCATGATTCCAATGCACCCAGAGACAAATTTTATGAGCTAAGTATTTTAGCCACACTTTGAATTATCCCCAAACAGTTTGGTGTACCTTGCTGGAACTTTTCCTCAGAGTTACAGGATGTTTCCGTCCCCCTTCTCCGCACTTCTCCCACTGTGAACCACCCTCACCTGACAATCACCCACCATGCAGGCCAGTGTGAGCCCCGACGGGAACTTTTTTACTTTTATTGGATATACTGCACCGTCTGGTGTTATTCACACATGTGAAATGTGGCACTAAATACCTTTTGAATTTGCCCCGTAAAAGACCAAATTCAGAGCATTTATGAAAACAATTTATAGTTTCATTATACACTCTGACATGAGCACTTTGTCATCATGGACGCTCACACAAAGCAGAGAGAATCAGCACTCCCGTACCATTTGAGTCAATGCTCTTTTATGGACAAAAAGCATTACTCATATATAGTGCTCGCTCGGAACTGACTTTGTTAAGTTCAATTTCAAATAAATGAAAGGGGAAAAAAGAGAGTTTTGTGCATTAGCACAATTTTTTTTTCCCTTAAAAAAAAAGTAATTGCTTAGCTTCTAAAACAAAGGGGAAAGAAAAACCATTCTGAGACGGATTTGAGTTCTAAGAGAGGACGCTTCCACCTTGGATGAATCTTATTCCTGGCAGTAATGAGGTTGGAATCCTGCCTTAAAACGTCCTGAATTTTAAGACTTTGACATCGTCTTCATGGAGGCAAAATGGTTCTGTTGCCACAGTGATTTCTCAAGAGTAAAATCCCCAACGAGTAAATATCAAAGGAGAGTGAGTGGCTCAGAAACCTCAACTGCAATGTCCTAAGGGAGGTATTGAGATTTCACGGGAAAAAAACACCATTTACACACCACTGAACAAATCTGCCCTTGTGCTTTCAGCTCTTTGCCCGTAATCAGCAGCCTCGTTGTCACTGCTATTACTATTGGTGGCACCAAGGTGGCCACCTTTGTCCCTTCAATTTATCAGATCCAAATCTGAGGCCCTAGAGATACTCAGTATCTTCTGACTTTGGGGAAGAAAATCCCAATCTCATGGAAACGTTGTAAGGTGTAAGTCAGCGAGATTAGCTGTAACATCCAGTCTAGTGAAAGGGAACAGGTAAGGGTCACCACTTATTGGCAAACTGGAAATCCAAGTTCCCTGACCTTGAACTGCAATCATTTAGGGTCCAAGTGAGAAGCCGTTTCTCTCACAAGGCATGGTCCAAGTGGGGCCTTAGAAGCTGTAAGGGGCAGTAGTAAGATGCCCTTTCTTTGGGTCTAAAGTACCTTGTAGAAAACAGGCACAGAGGCCTCTACTAAGAGCCAGTGACTAGGACTGAGGAGCAGGCTCACTGCAGTTCGGTTCCCCTGACAGGACATGGAAAACATGACAATTATGACTCCACTAAAGGATAAGAAAGCAAACACATTCTGTATAGAAGATGGAGCCACACCAAGAAAAGGGTAGTCTTTAGAAAGCCACTGCTGGGCTACTCTCTCTTCTGCTTACTATGGTCTAGAACAGTGAATTTCAAAATTGTTAGTGCATGTCAGTAATTTTTATCAGTGGAACAAATCTTAGGTTGAAGCTTCATTTCTAAAACGAATTGGCACTGCCCTGGCTGAAGGTGGGATGCCTCCCCTGTTGTGGCCCCCCACCCCCATCCTGATGTGGCCACATCAACAGCAGGCCAGGAAAAGACTGCTCTCTGTCACCCTGGGATACTTGTGAAAATGCAGATTGGTGGGCCCCAGCCCAGACCAACTGAATCAGAGTCCCTGGCAGCCGGCTTAGGAATCTGTATTGTTGGCCTGTGCCACAGGTGATTCTTACTCTAGCTGCACTCTGAAAACCCAGGCTCTGGAGGCCTCCAGGTTTATGGCATCTAAAAAGTTAGAACCAGCTACAATAGTCTGGAAGGACTGGGAGGCCATGGCCGCCCACAAGTTCAAGGCCACGGCACAGGGTCTCAGAGTCATCCTGGAGATGTCTGTGCCACCTTTTGTATCATAAAGCGGTTCTCAACATGTACAAGCACAGACTATATTTTACTCCATCTGGCCAAGTAGCCTATATATGCAGTCTCATTAAAATGACAACAGGAAACCCTGGGAGTCCCGTGTTTGGTGGGGGTTATTGGGGAATGGGGTGGAATTTCTCACTAGCATTGTAAAATGGTGATTGCGTCTCCGTGTCCTATCCCCTCCCCGCCATTGGAAACAAACAACAGCAAAAAACTGGAAGGAAAGAAAAAGGCCCTGAAGATCCTCCCGTTGAAGCTCTCAACAACCAGCAAATTCATGGATTTGCTCCTCAGCCGTAGAAGGGGCCAATAATAGAACAGAAAGCCAGATCAGCCAAGTTACTGTGCTGGGGACCTTTCAGCTCCTAAAGCAGGATGAGTAAGTACAGGTGGTGGAGGAGGTGGGCAGCAGAAAATCACCAGGCAGAGTCAGGAGGCCTCCGTCCACAGGGAGGTGTAACAATGAGTTAATCATGAATTGTTGGGATCCTGGGAAAGCCACAGAACACGAGCAACAAAACAAACACATACTCCCTGGGCCTAAGTTTCCATACTTAGAAAATGAGGGGGGTTCCTAGGGTGACCTCCCACTTGAGGAACCCTCAATTTTAACACCTCACCCAATATCACTGGGGGTGAAGGGTGTCAGGGAAGGCAGTGGCGGTGAGGATCTCCAGCCCGGGAGGTATGACTCACTTCAAGCACCCAGCAATTTCTTCCTCTAGGACAGAGCCAGCTCAACGCTTTCCAAAGACTGCGTGCGGCAGTGGCAGTTCCAGAATCTATACAGCAGGGGCTTCAGGATAACCACCTGGCTGGAAGGGGTGCCGAAGCTGTGTTTGCAATAGCACTTTATGATAGAGTGAGAAAAGGCTAAATGTCTATGGGGTCGACATTAGCGCCTGTCTCCAACATTTCCATCCAGTTTGCCTTTCCTCCCAGGCACATGGTAGGACTGTCCTTCCCCATTGCTTTGGAGTAAGGCAGAGCCCTATAACTTGCTTTATCCAATAAAATGGGACTGGAAGGGACATGAGTCATTTCAAACGTGGAGGCAATTAAGAATCAATGTAAGAATCACCAAGCCTTCTCCACCCCTGCTGCAACAACTGTGGAAGCATGTGTTGCTATGGAGCTGCCCTAAGAACAAAGAGCCTAGAGTATGGAGCCAACAGGGCACAGACAACCGCCGCAGGGAGTCAATGGTGTCCGCAGAGAAATTTGTGTGATCAGAAATAAACTTTCGAGGTATTCAGTTTCAGAGATTTGGGGAGTATTTGCTACCAGAGCATAACTTAGTCCATTCTGACTGACACAGTCCATATCAAAGAATGGGAAGGTGGGGGTAGTATTTGCTCTCTGCTTTTGCTGAGTCACCACCATGATGAAGAGGATTAACATCATCACTATTACCAGTAACAACAACAAAAAACAAGGTTTTCTGACAAATGCTTTCCATGTACGATCGCCTTCCATCCTCACCACAACACAATGAGGTTACTGTACTGGTATTACATTCATTTTCTATAATACATGAGAAGAGAAGCTTAAAGAGTTTATGTCATGTGCCAATGGATGGGCAGAGCCAGAACCTGAACCCAGATCTTTGCAGAGCTAAGCCTTTGAAACCCCAATTCCCGAAAAACTAAGCATTCTGTGCCCCCTCTTACCCCCCAAAAGAAAATCAGAATATTCATGGAGTTAGTTGGTATTCCCAGCACAAGGAAGCTAAGAAAGGACAATTTTGAATTTGGGTATTTTTAGACACAGAACAAATGGGTAAAACCTTTCTTTATCTCTTCATCCAATCCTCTCTCTCTAAAAACTAGTGGGCCTGACCCTTCTTTCCTCAGATGCAAGACCTGAAGGAAGAAGGGGAAAAAAATGGAAAGAACCCACAAGCGTCTCTCCCCTCTGCTCCTTGTGTGGGAGCCAAGTAGAAGCACTAAGGTTTCCATCCACTTATAAGAAATGGGATGAAACTAGAGGGCTTCAGAAAAAAAGCCAAAGAAAACTAGAGGGCTATTTTCTCAAAAGCGGCTTGGTCTCACAGGAGTTTTCTTTAACCTATAGTTGGTCTCGATCATTCAGTCAACAAATATTTTCTGGGTGCCTTCTATATGTTAGGTACTGAGCCAAGCATTGGTCTCCTCAAGGGATAAATGGTCCTGTTGTTGTGAAAAAGAAAAACATAATACCTGGATAACAAAATTTTACTTCCACAATCCCTTGTGGGTT